GTCTTAGATCAATGTGGTCTACAAACTCTGAAAGTTTCATGCGATTCAGAGAAAGTCGATGTAAACGTGGTAGAGATACCGTGGATTTACCCCACTATTGAAGTTGATCATGATATTTCAGAACAATCTTTATAAATGGTGTTCTTATGGAAAAAACTCAGAAGTCTCCTCTATCACTGAAAAAAAACCTAGTCCTATAGAGTGGAACACAGTGGAGATATTCAAAATTTTTATCATTTCGCTACTTATGACTCACCCTGTATATTAAAGGAGTGAAATAATGCTATATTCGATCTGTTGTGATAAAAAGTATTATCATCCTCAAATAAAATTTTTCAAAGGAACATATACTAAAAGATGCACCATGAATAGGGCTGAAATACATAAAAAATCCAGCTTGGGATCTCTTATTTTGATAAGATATTCGTCCATGACACTGAAAATTGATGATTGCAACTATATCCTTAGTTTTTTCAAGTTTGATCTCTATCTCATAAAAAGAGGCATTTAAAGAGTAATAGAAATAAACTGTTTTGTTGAGAAACAAATTCTCTATCATTTGAGATATTCCGCACCTCTAACCGTCGAACAACCGAGGAGAAAATCGCAAAATACGATCAGAATTGACAAAATCGACTGTTAGACCAGAATCCAAAAAATCGAAAAAGTGGAGTCTCTGCTATTTCCTTATAGATAACCTAGACTGAGCTGATATTTTGGTTTTCATAATAAATTTTTATGGGCTTCCGAATGAGACAACTAAATCCCAAATCTAAAAATTTTTCACAGCTATCCTCTCCTTATGTTGGTCGGTATTCTTGCGAACCCCCTCTTAACTGATGTCAACAGAATCCAAAAAACGAGTAAGAAAAACACAAAGTAATAATTCTTACATGATTTATGATAAATCTTTTCTATTTTAAACATAATGTGTATAGTTAGTTTCAGGGTAATACTACTGTCCGAATTATCATGGATGAAGTTATCGCACGTGCAAAATATTTGATCAGAAAAATATTAAAATCACGGTCGAGTCGTTATTACACACATTTAGTTGATGTTGATAATCTTCTTAATCAACTACTTGAACCAAATTTCACAGAAACTGAATGGACTCAATTGTTCTGTCGACAATTAAAACGTTTGATGGACTCTAATGAATCAATACGAGACGATATTTGGAGGCAATGGCATCTTGCTCTTTTTTATATAATAGAGGATCCAAATGGTGAACAAGACAAAGGTAATAATTGGGAACGATTTCTTGAAAGAATGAATTTCGAACGTGAACTGAAACAACGTGAGTTACAGTTTCAAGAACAGTTTAAAGAACGAAAGGATTTAAGTCAATTATTTTGTGAACATAATGAGTTTTTCAAAGAATATTTTCAAAAATGTATTTCTTTTCATTCGAAAGTGCAAGTGCGAGGTTTGATCAACAATATAGATGATCTTCTTTCTAAAGTTTACGGACTAACAGAAGTTTTTCTCACGTCAGAAAGTCACAAACGTCTTGAAAAAAAATTAAAAAGTATTGAGATAAATCTTGATTGTTCGAATAAATTATTAAACTGTTATGAGTTCCAGTCTTCTACAGATCTTAATTCCTCTAAGAGAGTCAATAATAGTCTCAATACCTTTTTACCTTCAATTGAACTAAAAGAAAAAAAGAAAAATCATAAAACGAAGAAAATTGCGAATGTATTACAATCCAATCGATGGATTGTTATTCTGGGTGATCCAGGTAGTGCAAAAACTACTCTTCTTCGATGGATCACACGTATTCTTGCTGAAGCAGCTCTTCATAATGATGAAGAAGTCGTTTTAGAAGGAAATTGTCGCATTCCAGTTCGTATTCCTATTTTGATTCGAATTGGTGAATTTGCAGCGTGGCTTAATCAGCACCAAACAAAAACATTAATAGATTATATCGGTGAACACACATGGTTTTTTGAACGTTATTGTGATATTGATAGTGGAAATGTGTTGAAAGAATTAGTATATCATGGCCATACATTAATTCTTCTAGATGGGCTTGATGAAATTCTTGAAGTTGAACGAAAAGGAGAGATTGTTGATCTGATTAGAAAATTTATTGTTGAATATGTACGTGGACCTGAGTTTTACACGGCATTTGATCATTGTATGTTCGAAACTAGATCAGTGTTTGATAATAGAATAATTTTAGAAATGCAACCACCAAATAAATGTGGTGGTAATCAGATAGTTGTTACCAGTCGTATTATTGGATATGATTTCCATCCACTTACTGGTTCGCTCATCCAGCATTGTTCATTATTATTAATGAATCATGAACAAGCAAAAGAATTTATAAACAAGTGGATGACACAAGTTGAGAAATGTATACTTGATGATTTGTTAAATGAAGGTATTCAAATTGACGAAGAAACAGTGAAAATTTTATCGAAGAAACGAAATACTACTGTAAAAGCAATGTTTAAGAATCGTTCAGAATTATTAATGTCAAATCCTTCTTTATTATCTTTATTTTGCACGTTTATTTTCAAATCATTCGATCAATTTCAACCTACATCTCGAGTAGAAGTGTATGATCAGACTGTTCAGGCAGCCTTGCATTCCTGGAGAAATCAGGAACCATGCATCTCTGAAAGTATTCTAGCTCATTTTTTGATCGAACTTGCAACTTATCTTCATTTACAATCGCCATCTGGTCTTATAGATTTGTTCGATATGAAAAAATTATGCTATTTAGTTCTACAACAACAAGGTCTATCCAATGATCGTACAGAACTGCGTATCTATACGAATAAATTGATATCTTTGCTAGATTTTAACGTTGGTATTGCAGCTGAACGAGGTTTACAAGTATTTGGTTTTCTACATTTATCACTTCAAGAATATTTTGTCGCGCAGGCTCTTGTAAGAGGTTCTTCGATTGACGAAATTGTAAAACGTATTGTTAGATTCTCAATTTATCCTCATTTTCGTGAACCACTCCTTTTGGCTCTTGGTTGGATTAGTTGGAAATGGTCATTTGATGAATATAATAAGTTTTGCAATCTTCTCTTAACTCCAATCAAAGATTACATAATTCCAATTGGAACATTTCTTTTCTTCGATGCTTTCAATGATTTGATAAGATTGCCTTCAAACTCAATTATTTTTACGGCACTGAATAATTTACTATATCACTCTTTTGGAAATCTCACATCAAAATATTTATTACAGACTTTACCTCGATTATCTGATGATATTATTACAGAATGGATGCAATTATATTTAAAAGATGATAAGTGTCTTTTTAATTTTTGTCAATATTTTACACAAAGTAGAATAGAAAAATTTTACGGACCTTGTTATGATCAGAAATTAACGTCTATTTTATATCAACAGTTATGGTCATATCACAATATCAGTCTATCAGCCGAGTTCATTCTTGATCAAATATTACGAGGACTAATGGTATTAGATATTGTAACTGAACAAATTTTTAACAAAAAATTATCGTTATCTTTATTGTCACACGATCTCTGTAAATCGAATATTCATCCCTTAATACTTGCTGTTATTAATGCAGTATGTGGAGGAGTACATTTGTACCTTTATGCAGCAAAGTTTAATATTTCTTTTTCACCAAAATATATGCATCGTGAATCTTCAATCTTAGCTCCAATCGTGAAGTACTTGAATAATAATGTAGAACCACATTCAATCAAAATTCAAACGCTCATCAATGATTACCAAAATTTTCTTGAAATGTCCTTACCATCAAATACTTCAATTGATGTCGTCGATACTTTCATTGCTTTAATCTGTTTACAAGGACTTTCTCAACCATCAATTTATCAAAAATACAAGAAATACAAAGCATTACCATTAGCACTCGAGAGATTCAAGTGGATATGGTTCTATTTAAACGACTCATGCAAGCACATTCGAGGAGAGGTTTCCTACATTTTTGATATAGATTTTTTTAAAAATGAAATTGAACCAATTATCAACGAATTCTTTCCTCAACCTGATCCATCCGATGAACAATTCTCGTCATTTTCGCAAGCATGTGCGGTTGCTTGTAAGAAACTTCGATTTTTGGATATATCAAACTTACTTAAATTGGATACTTCTGATAAAATCGATTTAGATTCGTATTATCAATCAGAATTTTTTCATTTTATTGATGAGAAAAAATTAGATTTAATCGCTCAAAATATTTCTTCATTGAAAATATTAGAAAAGAGACCATTTTTTCTACTTAATTTTCTTCCACAATCTCTTCGGCAATTGTACTCTTGGACGATCATCTCTCCGATTAATAAAAAAGATTCATTACCATTAGTTGTACTTTTATCACAATGTTTAATATATTTGGAAAATGTCGATGAATATAATTCGAATTTCTATCTTGCCTTAGTGATGTTACAACCATTATTAAAAGAACATACGTTAGAAAACTATGCATCAGGACTCTTATGGGAAAAATATTTTGATACTGAAACCATTAAATCAAATGCTACTCGAAAGTTTTTGAAAGCGATAAATGATCGAAAATTATTTGATCCATTTCATATGGACTACCAAAAAAATTTGGAATTATTTATCAAGGTAGAACGTCAACGTATTAGTAAAGCAAATATCGCGCTGCACAATCAAGACAGAGATATGAAACTTTTTTCTACATCGATTTCTCTCGCTCGACTTTATCAAACTCTATATCGTATTCATAAATATAAAGCAATAAGGCACATTGGTATTTCTCATGCTGAAAGTAACGATATTCACTTGGCGATAATGAATATACTCAATCCAATTCTACGAATCATCGCACTAAATATCATTTTAAACATGAAAGATCCGTTGATCTTTATTGAAGAGCAAAGAGATCAATTGCAATGGCAAATGATTTTTCTACTACATTCTATACTACCGAATCTTTCATTATTAACATCAACTCTTTTATTTGTTCAATGTTATACAGTACATCAAATGTTTCCATTATCATTTGAATATATGACAAATATCATTGGTCAAAAATTAAATGAAGTATCAAAAGATAAACAAAATCAAGGTCAAGAAGCAGCATACATTGCATTGAAACAGCTAAATAACTTGAATCTATCGCCTTTTTTATCTGAATTTGCCAAACGAACGATAAACTTGTCTGATGTTCTTCATTTTAACTCAACAATATTCTATCATTTTTTAACCAACAGAACATCATTTGATTCATGCAATGGTATCCTTCTATCAATTATGTATTTAAATGAATTAATTTTCGATGTTCAAAGTCTAAAAATGTATACCGAAGATGATTATAAGAGTCATATTTCACCTTTGAAAGAATTAGAAGTATTATGGAATGAATTATCTAAAATTGAAAAGATAATGTCCTTTAAAGTAGCAACATGGATCACGAATTTTTTACCAATCTTAAACAAAAAAGAAATTCATCAAATTATCGAATATATATGTTGTTGTACATTGGTTGAAAAGAATGCTATTTCAGTGATAGAAAAATGGCTCGATTATCGGAATGATCAAAATATAAAAATATTTGCTCAATATGCTGCATTACAATTGATTATTGAAGGATTCAATAATTCAGAGTTGATGGATATCCTCAACGATATGATTTTTACAGATACTTGGTTCCGTTTAATGTCTATTGTAAAACGTTTGTTCAATTCTCACCGTGTCAATTCAAGTATTTTTCGTCAAATCTTGATTATATTACATACAAATATTCAATATTTTTCGAAGATTTCTTTTTTAATTGATTGTAAAAAAACTTTTAAATTAATTCTTGATTTGGAATATGAACGCATAAATTCGTATATGTCTCGACAAAGTAAAATGTCGACTAAACCGTTTTTATTAATAATTAAGAGTTGTTCAAACGATTTAAAACTTTTTCTTGCAAATTATCTTCGTACATTTATCATTAAAAGTGTTATGGAAGAGGAATATATTGCTGTTGTTATTAAATGGATTATCGAAAACTTGATCTTTGATGCGATAGTAGAAGAATACAATTATATTTTCACATTACTTCATAATCAAGAGTTTCCTCGAATTCAAAAAGCAATTATTAATGGTCTTAATTCAGTATTCTTACGTATGCGAGAAAAACAAGATGATATTTTTTTGCAAGATGCAATGAAGAATTTGGAGAAAGTGATTTGTTCATGGAATATATATCCAAAAGATGTTCTAACTATTTGTTTATTAGCTTATGGCAATTGTTTAACTTTCTTCAACAAACATAAAATGAATCGAAATGTTTCAGATCAGACGAAGAATATGCTTAATATCCTTTCTGAAACATCATTTCCAGAAATTATTTTTATTAGAGCTAGTTTTTGTTTAATTTTCATGAAACAGTCGTTTCCAGTATTTCATATAACATTGGATTGGTTTAAAAACAAACGGAATATAACATCTGAAGAGGCATATAATATATTATTAAATCAAACATTATATGAAACAAGAGAAAATTCAGTCGGACTAAGTATAGAAGGATTTGTTGAACATGTAGATGAATATATGGATTCTAATAATTTTATGAGCACATTTGTCACTGATATGTATAATTATTTATGTGATAAAGATATCAGAAACTATCTTTCTGATCCTTCACCTGACTATATAATCATAGCATTGAAGGTGATAGAAAAAGCTTGGAATAAATTTCGTAACGCTGTTAAAAAAAGTTCTTTTGGAGAAGAAGAATTTAGAAAAAAAATCATTTTTCATTTTATGAATAATCCAAGTGATCAATTCTACTCAATAGCACTTTATAACTATTTTGGTATTCTTACCCATGAACATATCGATATATGGAAAAGATTTCGAGATAATGAAACTTATCGGATATTGGACCAGGTACATAGAATCAAACACGTATCTGATAGAGATGTTCTTGAAAAATTCTTCAAGCTAATAGATTTGAACATGTGTAAAGAGAAATTTCAAAGTTATTCAAATGTATTGAAATCTCTTGCGACAATTCATGATGCATCTCTATTGGAAATATATCAAAGTATTTCACGCATTGATACTATATCATATGAACATGATGATGAATGGTGTGATCGTAAAGAAGATATTTTAAATCTGTTATTAGATATTAGTTGTTTTAATGACAAAAAATTTTCGTCGAAATTAAAAGAAACAGTTATTACTCCAGAGAAAATTGATGAAGAATTTCATCGAGAAATTGCATATCTTGATAAAAACTCAGCTTTGTTTTTTCGAGATAATCCTTTTATCACTGATTTTAATTCAAATTCGAATTAAGAAGATTATTTTGTTCTTATATCATATTCTTGCACTAGCATATTCGTTTTTTTTCATAACACAATATCATTTGTAATTAATTATTGTTAAGTTTAAGGTGGTTTCATTATTGTTTTTTGTAATCTTTTCTGTTTTAAAGTTGGAATTTTTTGTATGTTCAATATATAAACATTTAAATTTTTTTTTTTGTAATAATAAACACATTTATCACTCATTAAAAACTAATGCCAAGTTATCATTAATAAAATTTAACCGATTTAAATGTATTAAACATAAATAATAGACTTTTCCAACATTCTCGTTCGTTTAGATTCATAAAGGAACAAGTCCATTAAAAATATATCTCAAAAATGAAGTTTACTAAAATATGACAAACAGATGAATTAATATAAAACGAAATAATGTATTATGCCGAATGTGATGTTTGTTAGTCAAGTTTGACCAGAATATTGGTACTAATAGTACTCTTCGGATTTAATTAATATGTACTACTAATGTTGGATAGATACTTTTTAATATCGAATATACATAAGATTGTCAACGTCGAAGCCAACTTCGTAGGTCATTTGTCGATACTTTGATCGTTTCATTTGGCACAAATTTTGTATCTTTAGATACTGAAATATGGTATTCCGCACGAACAAGAGCTAAAATCTGATATGGTTGGATTCGACATTCGGAATAACTATAAAGTGCAGTAATCTGGTATATATTTTCGCCATATTATGTTACTCTAAGACGTTCACCGATTTTAATAATCAATATTTTTGTATGGTCAATTTGAAGAAATATAATCAGTTGAGAAACAGAATACATATGAAACAGAGGATCTGGTAGAAAAATCATGTATTTTTTCTCCGTCTAGAAATAGTATAAAATGAACGTATCTTGAGAGTGAATAACTAATCTGATGTCGGTTTTTCAAGATCTAATCCCTTTTGTATAGATTTTTTCCAATTCCAGATAATTAGGCATCGATCTGACTGCATACAATTCATACTGGTACCCAGTTATCGGGCACTGAAAACACCTATACAAAAGGGATCAGGTCTTGAAAAACTGACATCAGATTAGTAGAATCATCTCTTATACTCAAGTCTGTATCATCCTATTCAAAATAGATGCAAATTCATATAAAGTCTCTGGTATCTTTTTGAATGAATATTTTCTTTAAATAAATGATGATAAAAAAAAAGAAACAATATGAAGATTAGTTTCAATACATCTCTAGAGAAAATCTTTGATATTTCAGCGCCACATCCTTGAAGGATATGATCAAGATCCTGCAAGGATTCCCTCTTTTTCCTTGAGGAAGTGATGAAATTCTGAAAGAAGTGTGTAGCTACGGATTTTTAGGATCCTGTCAAGATTCAAAATAAGATTTTCTAGGATCTTGACAAGTTTCTCATTGTTTTTCAAGTCAAGATTGAGCCAGGAAATCGATAATTCCTGAAAGAAGCGTGTAGCTATGGAATTCTAGAATTTTGTCAAGATTTCAACGATTCAAAATTGGAAAGAAAAATTTCTGGTCACATGTTTCAGGATATGACTGAGTTTTCTCGAAGAACCTATCAAATTTCTTAGCAGATTCTTTGAAGGATTGAAGTAGGTTTCTTTCAGGATGTTTTCAGTTTCTTGATAGGACCTTTGCAGAATTTCTAAATAGAACGTACGAGAAATGAACACATAGAGAATTGATCTCTAGACCTTTAGTTTACATACCGATCAACTTGAGGGTGTGGGTGTGGATGTGGATGTGAATGTTGGTGGGTGTGAGTACGGATATGGGTGTGGGTGTAGTGAGAATCATTACTCAAACCCGCACTCACATCCACACCCACACTCTACCCAGAGTACTACTGGCTTCTTGAGTGTATTTCAACGGCTTGAAATCGAAGTTTGGAATACCCGACGAAAAGAAATATATTTAAAAAAAATACTTTTTGGATGCTTCCGTCCAATAAAATCTAACACAATATCAATGTCGACTGATGAGTCTGATTTTTATTATAGAAAATGTTTCTAGCAAACGATTGTAATATGTTTTTTACTTCTACGCGACAATCTTAGCAGCATTATTTATGCTCAACAACAATTCATCTGAATGTCATAATTTTCTATGGCATATTTAGCATCAAACGTTGAAAACTAAGATTGGAATCTGTTAGTGTTCTTGGTGAAGATACAGTAATAGTGAATTTTCGTGTTTTGAACTCTAAAAGAATTTCAAATATAGAGATTTCACAGTTCATCACTCAGATCAGTTCATTATCAAATATTATAGGCATGACATAAGCTTTTTATAGAGTGCCTAGAATCCGACAAGAGTTTTTTTTAGTTAGAAAAGTGCAGATATATTTTCTCTTCAATAAAAACAACAGTTATTTTTTATTTTTTGAAAAATGACCAACCAATATAAAATAACAAATTCAATCACCAAAATATATCTTGTTATATAAATCGAAAAGATTCTTTCGCAAACACTAGCATACCTACACTCTAAATGACGTCCTAAGTAAGTTTAGCGTCGAAATATTGGAGTATAGAAATCATGGAACTTCTACTAGAGCATATATATGAATGAAAAGAAGAGCTACACAAGCACAGTCACTTGTACACTTATCTTAACCACTAGTTGATCTTTTTATTTCAATTTTGGAAAAAACTTCAGATAAATCATGAATTACAAAACTATCGTAAATATAATTTATCAGACTACAGAAAAGTGATTTTCTTTTCTCAATGATAAATTGTCCGATTTATATTTGGTAATAAATATATTAATGATATATATATCACGAATTACTTGATGATTTGTTATTTCAAAGTCAAACTACGCATAATAAAGTAGCTGGAAATTAAATAGTACGATAGAGCATTTAGTCTACCGAAAACAAAAATGAAACTTATTGAAGGATGTCAACAGTTTGAAGAACCTTTAGGAATTTTTTATCGATTGTGATGTTAAAATAAGTTTAATCTAATTGAAAACTATGTGATTCTTGACACACTGTGATATTACATTAAAAAGATTGCAATCACAATAAGAAGGCCTCCAGACGTTTCGTCGCTATCATTTCGAACATCCGTATTTGACACCGGATGTTCGGAATTGACATTTAGTCTGTCAACAGATGTTCGTAACTAATAAAACGGATGTTCATAAGGTAGAGAATGGATGTTCGGAATGAATTTTATCATATGACAGAGTTACGAAAGATGGATGTTCGGAACAGAAACTACAGGGTGTTCGAAACGCAAACATATGGATGTTCTAGACAAAATAAATTGTGTGCAAAACGGACTTGGATATAGAGTGGTAAATGAAAGAGAAGAGGTCTCATAATCTCGAGAGTAAAAACTCGAAAAAAATAATAATATCAGTCATCTTGATGAACAGTGAACACGATATGCGAGTTGGCCGTCTGCCTATTATAATTGATTATTTACGTGGCGGTTGCATACATTAGCTGGTTTATTCCTTGTTTCGGTGACGGCGACGTATCATACAAATTTGTGCTCATCTAGCACTATATAACTTGTTTCGCATGCGTAACTTCACTCATTCATCATCACCACTCACACGTCTATGTGTTCGGTTTGTTCGCGATTTTTTCTTTCGAGATTTTGACTTTTGATTTTTAAGGCAAGAACTGTGCTAAGCTGTCGCGTTTTTCTCGATCCTTTTCTAAAATGCCGTACGTTCTTCGATCATGTAAAGGTTCTGTTTCAAGAACTGGAACTAAAGTGCTGCACTAATAAAAGAAGCATATCTCCGTTCCGAACATCGCTTCTTTTCCATTTCGAACTTCCGTATAAATTTTTACGAACATTCGTTTATTGTTGTTCCGAACATCCCTATATTTTCATTACGAACATCCAGTAGGTTTTTTTTACGAACATCCGTTTATTTTTCGATGATCGTTCCGAATATGCGTATTTTTCTAATTCTGAATATCCATTATTATTACCATAAAAATGATGATTTTTTGAAGAAAACGGATGCTCGGAACGGACTACGACATCGGATGTTTGGAATAAAAAGTAGCGACGAAACGTCAAAATGTCAATATGTTTTGCGATTGCTTCTGTTTCTTTTTATTGTGTCCTTCAGTTTATACATACGTTAACCCAGGTCGAAGATTCTGTTCATCGGATCCCAGAGAACCCTGCAAGAAGATGAAGGAAAATTCACTGTATCCTGCGGGGAAATGCTGAAAGTCGTTGGATCATGGTGGCAGTATTCCGGCCGGAAATTCTCGGATTTTTTTCCAAGTGACTTCCACTCAAAGCTCTCCCGATCCCAGGAGGAAGTTGTCCGGAAGTTACCGGAAAAAATCCAAAATCTTTCCGGCCGGAATACTGCCACCCTATTCCGGCGACTATAGAGAATTATTGTCATTTTGAAGGGTATGCGTTAGAATAAAAAACAAAATTCATTTCAACAAACAAACAATAGTGAAATTTAAAACTTTCATTTCTTTAGTAATGCACCAACGTTTTGTTTTGATTTTATTAATGATTGAAACTGGCAAATAGTCACCATTTCTGGATTTTTACTAGAATACCCTAACACATCACAACTTGAATATAAACTATAAACCTTATAAAGTATAGAAAAGACGCAGTGTGAGTATGGACTTAGTTCGTTTCATTAAACTAAGACCCACATCTTTTCTTCATTTCTTTTTGAGACAGCAGCAATTAGCTTCAGGATAGAATTATTTGTCATGCTGACAAATAAAATTGCCAAAACTTTTTATAAGTATTACAATGATATATGACACATGAATGTTGAAAAATTAACTAATAATCTATTCAATGACAAGAACGTCAAATATGAGTACAAATACCTATCTTTAGTGAATTCTTGGATTTGTTTATGAAACATTACACTTGATTAAGTAGTAGATCATTTAAAATCTTTCTATAATCCATACAATTTTCTCTTAGTTTCAGGCTTCTATCTATTGTGGATTTTGCTATTTTATAATAAATAT